TGGAGAGTAGGTTGAGCCACAAGGTTGAACAAGCATGGTCGGGATCCATTCTCTCCAACCCATAGATCATAATCTCCAAGGGCATCCTTCAACTTCCATTCACCTATGAAAACATTGAGTTCACCCCGAGACTTCTTGCTAAGTGCATCGGCTACTACATTCGCCTTTCCCGGATGGTAGTTGAGTGTGAAATCATAGTCTTCTAGGTACTCAATTCATCTTCTTTGCTGGAGATTCAAGTCTTTCTGTGTGAAGATATATTTGAGGCTCTTATGATCAGAGAATACTTGAAATTTCTCTCCATACAAATAACACCTCCACAACTTAAGAGCAAAAACCATAGCGGCAAGCTCTAACTCATGGGTGGGATAATTCTGCTCATGAACTTTGAGTTGCCTAGAGCCGTAGGCAACCACCTTCCCTCCTTGCATTAGCACACACCCCAAGCCTCGTAGCGAAGCATTGGTATACACATCATATCCTTCCCCACTACTCAAAATAATGAGGACATGAGTAGTTGTTAACTTCTCCTTCAAGGTGCGAAAAGCTACGTCACACTCTTGAGTCCACAAGAATTTTTCTCCCTTCTTTGTGAGACGTTTCATCGACATTGCTAACTTTGAGAACCCTTCCACAAACCTCCGGTAGTAGCCTGCTAAGCCCAGAAAACTACGTACTTCGATCACATTCTTTGGTGGTTCCCACTTTATCACTGCCTCAATCTTTGAGAAGTCAACTGCTACCCCTTGTTCCGACACAGCATGGCCAAGGAATTGCACTTCTTTCATCCAAAACTCACACTTACTCATCTACGCATATACCTTATGTTCTCTCAATGTTTGTAGCACAATAGAGAGATGACGTCCATGTTCCTCGTGAGTCTGGAAATAGATTAGTATGTCATCAATAAACATGATGAAAAACTGATCTAGATACGACCGAAATACCCTGCGCATTAAATCTATGAAGGCTACTGGAGCATTAGGCAATCCAAACGACATCACCCTATACTCGAAATGACCATACCGAGTACGAAAAACAGTCTTAGGAATATCTTCCTCCTTGATCCGCAATTGATGATACCCTGTGCAAAGATCAATCTTAGAATAATACTTAAAACCCCTCAACTGATCAAATAGGTCGTCGATTCGTGGCAAAGGGTATTTGTTCTTCACTGTTACTCGATTCAATCTTTGGTAATCCGTGCACAACCGAAGTGTCTTATCATGCTTTTTCACAAATAGGATCGGGGCTCCCCAAGGTGAAGTGCTCAAACGGATAAACCCAATGGTCAACAGATGATCTAGCTGTTTTCTTAGCTCCTTTAACTCCAACGGTGCCATCCGACAGGGAGCAATGGCTATGAGTTCGGTTCCAGGGTAGAGATCTATCTTGAACTCAATCTCCCTGTGTGGGGGTAGCTCGGGTAGTTCGTCTGGGAAGACATCCGAAAAATCCGATACTATCAACACCACATCTGCATAGAATTTATCCCGATCATCTCCCATCAAGCTAGCTAAGAAACTCAAATGACTCTTCGCCTTTGCTTTTAAGAATCTACTACCCATAGTAGGAAATGGATGGGAGGAATTTCGGTCATTCATGAAACTGAATATTACCCCTCCCGATAGTTGGAAAGAAATTCGTTTACAAAAAATAAGCCAGTACCGCCCGGAATGTGAATAACAAATTCATTCCAAAGATCACGTCATACCCCTTCATGTCTAAGACAACCAAATCTATAATTAATTTGTCATCCCCAATTCGAAGCACGTAACTCCTACACACCCGGCTAGTATCCAATTGTTCACCCGTAGGCATATTAATACACAACGCATGTTCTAGCTTCTCGAAGCCCAATCCCAATTTAATAGCATATGTAGTACGTATAAATGAATGAGTCGCACTTGGATCAAATAAAATTCGGGCCCAAGAATTGTAAAGCAGAACGATACCTTCCACTACGGCATTGGAGGCATCCTCCTCCGGTTGAGTCATAGCAAACACTCTTCCTTGATGAGTGCTGCTAGGTGCTATATCTCCTACCGGCCTCTGTGGTTGTGGCCTCTGTATTGGTGGCTTGTTTGCATTCACACGCCCGGTTGCTTGGTTGGTTTTGGTTGAAAGCAATGGGCAGCTATCTTTGTAGTGTCCAACACCTCCATATGCAAAGCATCGACGTGGGTCGGTGCCTACTCTCTCTGGTACTCCTCGAGCTGTCTATGGTCTCTGTCCAACTGCCTGATTATTTCCATGTCTCTCTCCACCAACATAGCCCTATTCACAAGATCCCTATAGTCACGGATCCTAAGAGCCACAAGCTTCTCTCTAATGGCCGGCCTCAAGCCCTGCTCAAAACGTTTGGCCCTCCTAGCCTCTATGGATATGAATTCTGTGGCATATCGGGACAATTCCTCAAACTTTCTCTCATACTCCCCCACCGTCAAACTACCCTGTCGAAGAGCGAAGAAATCGGCACTCATCTTGTCTCTAACTGACTCAGGAAAATATTTTTCTTAGAAGACTTGATCAAACTCCTCCCAAGTAAGTGCATCTGTGTTCCTTCGTCTTTTTACAGAATCCCACCAATGGTCGGCCTCCCCCTCGAACAAATAGGTAGCTAAGCCAACCCTCAAGTCTTCGGTAACTCCCATGCCGTCACAAATCTTCTTCACCCGACGGATCCATATTTTAGTCTCAAACCTAGACTTGTACCTTTTTGGGAATTATCAAATAAAGTTTTTTGGGATTGCCCTCACTATTGTTTATTATAAGCAATTATCAAATAAAAGTTTTGCAAATTTATTTCAAATTTGCCTTACTTTTCATTTCATAAGAAATTTGGAAACAAAACCACTTCCACCAAAGTCAGAGGATAGTCTGACCCAAAAAAAAAGAGGGAAAAATATCAAATATCCTCAGAACTCTGATTGCTCTCGCTACTATCACCCTCCTCGTCATCGTCTAACTCTCCATCACTAGTCTTCGCCATCAACAACAACAACAACAACATCTGGCTCCTTATAAGGAACGAATCCCTAGAAGTCTATGTTGGGAAAAACAACTAAAGCTTTACCACTGAACTCCTCGTAGCCATCAATAAAGCTGCTCGCCGATGGTTGATTTGCAACTCTACCTCAAATTTGGAACCTCTTTCATTGGCTAACTACAACTCTTCTTCAAATCTTGAAGCCCTTTCATGAGCTTCCCGCAACTCTGCCTCAACTTTGGTGGTCCTCACAACTCTACCTTTGCTCTCATACGAGTTGCCACATTGTTAGCCTCTAGCTTAACGGCTGTCTCGCAGGTCACCAAAAGCTCTGCCTCAAGAGTGTAGCTCTCTCGTGAGCTGCCCTCAACTACTCTTTAGCAGCTTGTAGCATTTGCCTCTCCTTTATCAAAACCCTCGATATGTGCTCATGATGGGTAAGCCTTGCAAAAAGACACATAACTGTTGTGGACACCTACAAACATGAAAAATGAGGAAAATGTCAGTGTCATCAGAGGACATGAGGTTAAATTTCATAGAAGTACTGATGATTACCTTGGCCAAGCCCTCCATCATGGTATTAATAACACCCTCGATTCCTTTATAACTAACTTCTCTAACTTCAAAGAGTGACACAAATCTCAAAACCTGGTCCTTGAAAATATTCACATCTTGAAACATGGACACAGAAGGAATATGTGGCATCCCAATCTGTGCTAGAGAGTGAACTCATGCCTCTTGAGATGTCCCGATTGGAGAGGTAACTAGAGAAAGTGCCTGAACAACTAGAATAGGTGGAGAGTCACCTACTGGGAACCCATAGGAGCATCATCCGGTCTCACCCTCTTAAGTGGAGGAGTCACCTGCACAACCCTAATGGAGTAAAGAGTCTCCACCCTGAACCTATTTATTATAGAACCACAATAAAGGGAGTAAGCTTCCGTAGTTGAAAATACTGCCAAAAATTCACTGTAAAAGATGGTATACCTCTCTTCTTGGAGGAAGAGTTGTGGGCCTAGGAAGAAGGTAAATCACCTCTAGAAAAGGAACCCCTAGCTTGACCTTCTTTAGATATAAGGGTCCCATAGTCCTTTACAGGATGAGCCCTCATAGCTTGAAGTCTTCCCTCTGGTCTGCTAATAACTCTGGCAAACCTGAAAAGGAGTTGAAAATACAGATTGAGATAAATAAAGAAAAGAAAAACATAGAAGCGAAATTTATACCTATCTTCTTGGGTATGCCCCATCCCATGAAAACCAAAGCCCGGTCCTCCTCAATAGCCTATTCTCCTCCTACAAACAAGAATTGAGTCTTCCAGCTATGAAAGTTGGAGTGCAGTCTAGTAATCAATTTTTCTGCCCTTGGAGAAAAGTAATACCAGCCTCGATTGGGAGTGAGATTCTGATGTAATGTATAAACAGCAAAAAACTCCTCATATGAGGAAGAGGCACCTTCGCGGTGAACACGTCTCCATAATGCGAGAAATCCCAACAACTCTCTCTAGCAATTAAGGGCCAACTGCCCCAACACAAGTGATGAACGTGCCAAGACGCAGCACATAGGTGTAAGCATCGTGAACTTCATACCTGCTTCTAGAACCTCCTCATATATAGTAAGATTCCTGGAGGAGTCATAAGAGGTTGGTTTACTCATCCGGCCCCGCGGCACAACACTGTAGGGGGAATAAAAAAAGTGGATATAATCCTAGTAATCTTAGCATTTGTAATGAGGGAGCTAGAAATAAAGCTCACCTTAGAGCCATCATCACCAGTAGCTACCTTACCACAATACTTGCGTCAGTGTGGATGTGGGGGAACATTACCACCATCACCTCTCGCTGCTTGCCTAGCGCCTAGCTTCACGTGCAGCTCCATCTTGACAACTAGCCTGTTTGCCAACTTTATGGTGCTTGCCACCTGTGTCCAGGCACCCGTGCTAACCCTCGTGCCCGCGCTGCCTGGGCATCCATGACACCGTTACCCACGCCCACGGCGTCCCTACTTTCACCTACCTACATTGCTCCCGCGCCCACAAAGCTCTTGCCTGCACCTACCTCAACAGCAACCGCGCCCGCACCCGTGCCCACAGCTCCCTTGCCTGCACCTGCCTCCACAGCAATCGTGCCCATGGTGCCCTTGCCTATGCTTGCCTCCACAATGCCCTCATCTGTTGTGCCTCTGCCTGCGCCCGTCTCCATGGCGCCCTCGTCTGTCTTAGTGCCCCAGGCACATTGGCCCGTGTTTGTGGACGCCTTGGCTCTGCGCTGCCAAATCAAGTTGGGATTCTTAATAGGATTAGGATAAAGTTCTCTAATCAGGGTGGAAGGAGATATCCAAAATAATCTAGAATGAGAAGTCCTAATCAAAGTGGGATAAACAGCCCTATCTGAAGCCTTAAGGCAAGAGACAAGCTCCCTAGAAGAAGGTCAAAACAATGATAAGTCTCCACCAACAAAGAATGCCCGCCAACGCAAGAATTCAAATCTCAAAGCAATATCTGTAAGGACATGGTCAGTACTTGGGAAAAAAGATGAGAAGCATGAGACCAAATTTATCCTTGCTAATGCCCTTTCATCCAAATTCCAATGGGCTAGGGGCATGGGGGTAAATGATTGGCCCGACCTAGACCAAGCCCAGAATTATGGACTAGGCTTAGAATCACAAGAGGCCCAATTTAGAAATGTAGGCCAGACCCACCACATGAAGGAGGAAGCAAGGTCAGGTCAATCGCGCCATCATGAAAGAGTCCACGTTATGGTGAGAGACTCAATCCACAACTGACATGCGAGGAGATCTCTTTGGGACTCGCATGTCACCATCTCCACTGAATTGTCTCGGCTATTACAAGAAGGGCGTCACCTCCACCAAACTACCTCACCTAATACGAGAATGGAGCCTATAAAATATAAGTTACACCTACACCAAAGAGGCATCTTTCACATCTCACTCATATCTGAGCACTCTACACTCCCTTGAACAACAAAATACTCAAGTTATCCTAACCTTTCACAGTGAGTAGGTTACCTTGATCGAACTGCTTAAATTATATTTTGCTTGTGCTATCTTATCATTTATTATTGCATTTAATACTTGGCAGGTGGTGCATAAACACGTTTTGTGTATCATCAACTCTGACAATAAATTTTTACACATATGACATTGCTAACGTGATGTAACTGTTATATAACCTTCGAATATAATGCCAAAATTGTGATAAAACGAATGAGGTTTGGGTTTTAACCATCACAGGTTTGTGTGGTGAAAAAATAGACCCATCAATGACTCTTCAAATAAATGAGTGAATAAACATGACTAAACACGGTTATACATGACATGAACTCTGCATGATATGAGCCAAACAATACACAAACATCAATAAATTAGATACATATTGAACAAATTTGGACAAGGCTCAACTTAGAGTGTTTCAATAAATGATACAACACTACAAAATATGTTGACAACCCTAAAATTGTGGCCATCGTACAGGTCAAGATCTAATGATAAATATATTCTTCTTTCAATTGTATCAATGTTATATTGGACACCTCATCAATACATAATCTAATAGGACTATTCCACGTTGAGAACTTATGCATCAGAAAATACCTTAAATAAGGAGCAGGTATGTGATAGAACGTAGACAAAAGTATTCTTAAAGCATCCAATACTGACCATTTATTCTTAATCATTCAGTTCAATAAAATATTACAATAATGAAAAATAACTTAATCAAGCCGGTTTGTATTTGATATACTAATTGATTAGTTGGCTAGATAATATACTAATTGTTATTACCAATTGATTTTCAGCCTTCTAAAAAACCTTAATAAAACAATGAAGTCAAAGGGAAAGTTTTTTTGGCTATATATTTCATGTTAAAGTATTTCATAGCATAGAAGGGATGAATCTAAAAAATTAGGATAGGGGAAGCTAGCGTGGACATTTTGAACTTCCGAAAGTATTATAACAAACTAGTCTATCGGGTTGGAGAGGTATCAAAGGAGATTCGATATTCAACTTTATTATGATTTTTGGTTTAATTTGACTCAAAGAATTTATAACATAACCTAAAAAATGATACCAAAAAAATAACTTTAAATATCATAGTTCTACCGAAAAGGACACTCAGCTCTTAACGTGACGTGACGTTCATGAAGCAAGAAATTCGCAGAATGTACCCATGTTTTTTTTTCCAAAAGGTGTCGGCACATTCGTACCTTTCCTTGTGCTTTCTCTAAGAATCTTTTATGTCAGATTATGCCAGACGAAAACAAAGACCACGAAGAAGAACAGGAGGTGGAAAATTAAGCTGTTTTCTGAGTTCAAAGGTTTAAGAAATCTTTGTTTTCTCCATAAGATTTGTCCTAAGGGCCATAGTTTTTTCGGATACTATTTCAACCTACAATACTTTTGATCTTTTGTTTCTCTACGTTCTTTTTTCAAGCAAAACATAGTAATAGTCTTTGAAATATACACTCCGCTTCATTCTGATGCTCATTCTTTTCATTATAATAATTTATATTTTAAGTTTCTAATGTAACTCGAAATGATCCAATTAAACTAGAGGTTTACAAATGCTAACAAAAGTGGTCACGTCAGTTTGAGAGGATATGATGTTGTTTGGGAAGTGATTAATGGAGCTTTGCCAACAAGGTGGAATTTATGGAAGAGGAAATTAATTAAAGCACCTAAATGTCTTATTTGTGGGGAGGAGGACGAAACCTTAGAGCATATGCTCTTATTATGCCCATGGGCAACTAAAGTTTGGCAATTGTCCCCCTTAGGTTTTAGAATTGATAGATATATAAAGTAAGGAGGATTGAGGATTGGCTTATGGAGCATCTCCAGATGCAAAAACACAGAGATGCAGTTAGTGGTGACCGATCATTGTTAGCTTAACGAAAACCACAAGCAAAGGGTGTGGTTAACCAAGCTCTGGGAGGCAATTGCTGAACTTCATCACAAGGAAGAAACAGAAAAGGCAAAATACTGGTCCAACCACGGTAGAAATTGGGTGGCATCCCCCTCCACAGGGATGCGTGAAGTTTAACTGTGATGGTCCTGAGGAAGCCTATGAAGATAAAAGACATAAGCGAGCTTACGGAGTGGTTGTCTGCAAGGATGGCTCAAGATAATTCAAGGCTTAAAGGGACAACAATAAATAAGGTTTTTTTTTTTTAATTTTTAATATTAATTTTTTTTAACAAATTAATTTTTTTAAATTTATTATGAGATAGAGATAGAGATAGAGATAGAATAAGGAGATGCTAGTGTTATTAAGAAAAATGTTTTAATTTTTGCTTTTGTTTTTTACTAAGAGAGTTTAATTTCAAATTTGTTTAATTATTTTTTTTACTTATTTTTACAGAGAGAGAGAGGGGGAGTAGGTAGGAATAAATATGAGTTAATTTTTAAATATTTTTTATTTTTCAACTTATGATTTTTGGGTTTCTAATATTATGGATTGAATCATAAACCCAAATTATAACAATAAAAATTTGGACAATTTAGAAGCCGTTCTCCCTATATAGACTTATTTAGAGATAAGTCTGTTAAAGAAACTTATTTGGTTTTAAGTACTTTTTTTGTTAATTTTGTTATTGTAATCTTTCCCTATAGGAATATTATAAACGACGTTTATTGATACAATAATTATTCATACACACCTCTTTCATAATTGCTTTCAAATTCAACTATAATCTTCCAAATCACAATGTTTCCTTATCCGAAAAATAAAAAATCGGCATTTACTAAATATTGTTTATATTAAAATTTCAAACTTATTACATTTCATCAAATACAATTTCAATTTACTATTCCAGTTTACTTTAGACTCCATCGACAAAATATTAATATCTAAAAAATATAATGACAGTAACATGGTCACTAAAAAAATAGTAACATGCTCACAAAAAAATAGTAACATGGTAAAAAAGTAGGGATTTAATTTTGTCAAATGGACATTAATCTTTGTAACCAAGATTTAACATAACTCATATATTAGTACTAAATTAAAATGTTATAGATTTCGATTTTGTTGATTTTTTTGTTGCGCAAGACAATTGAGTATTCCTTGATTATGTTATTGTGGAAAAAATGCATGTTACTGTACGTGAACCGCAAAATAGAATTTAGAATTTCGATGTCTCGATATTCACAATTGGTGTTGAGTGTTATAATTCGACTATCGATTTGTGTTACTACTCGTCATTTTATAAAATTTTAATTTGTTGATCATATTTTTATTAAAATCATTCGAAAATTGGCGTTACTGTAAAAAACCTATTGTCTTGTATTTTGTAAAATTAGATGTGTTACTAAGTACAAAATTTTGATGTTACAGTAAATATTAAAGTGTATGTTACATAATATACATCTCAAGGTTTAGAGAACTCTGTTGGCATTGTTCAGCCTCCATATATTATGCATTATTGTTGTTAAGAAAATTTTGTGATTTGATTTTAACTTAATAGACCAACAATTTATTTGTACATTAAATTTCTCATATATAACTATTAGAATATATAACTTCCATATAAAATTTTCGTTAATTATCGTAATATTTAATTAACGATTTCCATATATAATTTAATCAAGAATTTCCATATATATGTCAATTATCTAACCTATATGACTTTCCATAAGTTGACAAAATTAACACCGTTAGGTGTAATTTTGAGATTTAAAAAATAAGTGGACTTAAATACCTATATATAAGTTTAAACATGAACTTACTTACAAATAAGTTTCCTTCCAAGATTCAAGTCATTATAAGTCCATTTAAGGGGACTCACTTTTAATTTTCACCAAAAATTTTGATTGTATTTATTTTTTTAGGGCCTTTATTTTTAGGGTTTAAAATTTAATACATTTAAATTTTTTTTTTTGTGTTAGCAATGTACCTAAAATTATGGGACCTTCTAAAAATTTGGGATCTAAAGCCCAAGCTTTTTTCTTAATGAACAATGCTACAAAACTTAAATGAAACCCAAAAAATTATAATCCAAATACATATTATCTCTTGGATAGTAGGTCTCATAAATTTTTTCAGTGAAACTCACTCATCTCATACTCATTAAAGGATTAATATACATTTAAATTTAAATGTTTAAAATTCATTTGAATTATGTAACCTTTCCTATTTTTTAATACTGTTGAGCCGCGATGGTTATCTGGCACCAAAAAGGACGATTACTGACTGGACAAGCAAGTACATTCGCAGCAGCATCAGCTCTGGTCACAGAAGCTGTAGCTGTGAGAGGAGCTTGTTCTATGGCAGTAAAGGAGAGATTCAATACTGTTATTTGTGAATCTGACTCTCAAGCACTCATAGATTCAGTAACCAGAGGTCCAGAATGGATGCTAAGGAAGATAGAATCGATTGTAAAGGATATATGGCAAAATGTGTCCAAGATACTTATGGTCAAATTTGAAAAAGTTGGTAGAAGAACCAATATGGTAGCACATACAGTGGCTACTAAAGCAAGAGAAGGGACTCTCCCAGTTTTGTGGCTTACTGATCCACCTCCTCAATTGAGAATACTCATTGACAGAGAGGCCAGAGTGGGTGTTGGTTAGTTGGTTTTGAATTATATGTAATCAAGCTCTTTGAGCATTAGTTTTATCAATGAAAAGTTTTGATTTCATGACCAAAAAAAGAAAAAAAAAATACTACTTTACTTTATGCATGAGGAGGACCACAACATCAACTAGCGGAGAGTTTCGTGCTTTGATTCATTACAAGTTAAGTATCATTTGTTTAATCTCGGCTTAAACCCTTTTCGATCTTATTGTTTTAATCATCCCATAATTAAATATGCCACTAGTTTAGAAATGACTTAATAATGGACGTAGGTTATCTTGTTCCTTACCATTTGTTTGCTTATTATGATGAAAACGAAGTACTAATAAGCAACACCAATGATGGGATCAGGATTCACATAAATATAGTCTTCTTTTTCCCTCAATTGTATTCTATATTATATTACTCATACGCATGAAGACCTACTTATAAATAATAGGTTATGTTATAGTTATAATAGATGATATTCGTTAATTTTTTTTAAAAAAAATTATGTTAAAAGGATTCTCAGTACTTCTGTTATGATGTTGTCAATAAATAGCTACGTAAGTATATATAATTATGAATTATCATCATCTTCAGGCCCTGATCTTTCATACGGGTAGTGGTCAGTGTTGTTTATTGATCTCAAGCTCGGTTTATATCATAATTCTTATTCTAACAAAAAAAGGGTCGTATGACTTTATAAAGCCATTGTCCAGACAATTTTATCCACATTTTGAAGAAGTTATTATTTGCGCTCAAACTAATAATTGTTCTAAGTACTTATTTGAGTCATAATGTCGCATTATTTTGTAAAGTACTTAATGTAATGCAGTATCAAATAGAGGTACTGACATGGTATCTAGAGCTAAGAATCATGTCGGGTTAAAAAAATCGTGTTGGGTTAAATGAGATCGTATTCAAAATCACTTAACCAATAAATGACCCATTTATTAAATCATTGAAAAATACAAAAACGACTCATTCACGAGTAATCCGACACAACTCATATACCCCATCAAATGAGTAAAGGATTTGAACCGTTTATCGTTCAAACCTCTTTCTCTAGAAAAATTATAGGCCTCTAATCCCATGAAAGAGTATAGAATTAGGTTATTGTAATGGTGTATGTGAAATTGTAAAATCGCAGGCAATGCCCCACGTGTTGTTTAAGTTGCAGCTATCTTTTCTTATCTGACATTGTCTTTCTTCTACTGATGAGCTGGGTTGGGTTGGGAATATAATATGCGCTTCTAAATTAAAATTGAACAAGTTCTACATCTAGGTCATGCCTAATATTTAAACGAGTTGATATATTTTATTCGAACACAGACTGTGTAATAAGTGGGTCTGGCAAGTCCACCCATTTATTACTCCAATATGTTATAGTTAAATTCAAACTCGCTAATTTCATGTCGGGTGATTAGGTCACGATGCATTTTACCAAGCCTAGTGGTATTATTATTTAATAAAAATAAATAAATCAAGTGAATCCTAATTCTTTATATGCAATAGTTTTTACATTATATAAATAGACAATTATTGGATTTTGCAGTCTATTTGTTTCTTTTGGATGGTAACACTATGTAATGTTGCTGAGGGGCTATCATTGTTAAATTAAATGTTTTTTCTAATAATTTATTCCCCAAATAAAAGCTCACCTCAATCAGCCAAACTCAATATCAAAACCGACTTTCGATCCATCCGAACAAAACGGCTACCGAAGGGTGGGAGTTTCGGGCGATAGTAGGAGGGGGGCTTCATCCTGGGCTGGAAGGTTTGTCGGGGTTAGGGGATCAATCAGAGGGGTGAAATTCTGATGTAGAACAAGAATTGCTAGTTTCTAACTTTTGGATACTGAACCACTCATGAGTGACTCACCATGTTCATCCAATATTCCACCAAAGCCACCCGATTTACAACCTGTTAATCTACCACTAACACAGCCTTCATATGCTTCTCTCTTCAAGCAAACATCCAAACCCGTGTTAGTGGGAGAACCAGTGCCCAAGATTGAGAAACCTATTGTATTTTATGAGGGGAAGCCTGCTTTTTACTTCACTAATGAGGAAATCAAACAATCTTGCTTATCTATGCAATATGCATTAATAGGCAAGTGTGCCTATGGTAGACCAAGTATAGGCGTGATTAGAGAGGTGATAAGGTCTAAATGGGGTTTGAGAGGTGAATTTGAAATTGGTTCAATAGATCCAACGCACGTGTTGATACGTTTTGAAAAACAGGAGGATTATGTGAAAATGTGGTTGAAAGATGCTATTATCATAGAGGATTATTTATTCAGATTCTCTAAATGGTTTTCTGCTTTCGTATTAGGAATTGAGCCATCCATTGTGCCTATGTGGATATCATTACCTGGATTGCCTCTTAATTTTTTCAAGAAACCGTTTTTGGATTTGCTGGTAAAACCCATTGGCAAAGTTTTGGCATATGATCAAGCGACACTCTCGTTGTCCAGGCCGGGGATAGCAAGGGTGTGTGTGGAGGTCAATCTACTTGCAAATAATCCAAATAGAATTTGGATTGATATGGGAGTTGAGGATGCAAGATGATAGCGGATAGTATATGAAAGGAACAAGAAATTCTGTAAAAGTTGCAGGAAACAGGGTCATGAGGAACTTGAATGCAGGAGGAAGAAACCAATGGAGCAATTGATGGTCTTAGAAGGAAAGAATCCAGTCATAGAATTAGCAGAAGGCGAAAAAGAAACTAAGAACAAAAGCAATGGAAAGAATTCTATAGAGGCAAGTGCAAAGCAGATTAAGGGGAAGGAAATAATGCAAAATTCAAATTATGGGAAAAAAAATGAGGAAACAACATATCAAGGAAAATCTCAGCTGCAATTAAAGCACTCAAAGCCAGCATAGCAGTGGAGAGGGAAGAAATAAGGGTGGCAATCGTGTCGTGTCCAGGTCGTGTCATCTCGGGTTCGGGTTGAAAACACATCAACCTAAACACGACCTGCGAGTTAAGCGGGTTAGGTTATTTGGACACGAACACGACCTGACTCGAAATACGACTAATCCGACATGACCTGTGACCCAAGATTTACACAAGTCGTGTTCAGGTAAACACGACCCAACCTGCCTAACACGACCCAACCCGACATGACATAACAAAAAAAGGAAAATTTTAGACATGTTACAAATATCCCAAATGCAAATCTACATAAAACAAAGGCTAAAACATCACAAAAATCTCAAAAACAAATACAAATCTCCATAATATTACAAATATTCAAAAAACTTTACTAAAATTCCCAAGCAATATTACAAGCATCTTTCAAATTCTCTTCATCTCTTAAATCTGGCCAACATCAACAATCAAGATCCACTATCCCCTATAAAAAACCCACATAAAAAGAGTTAGATTTTATGACTCAACACACATCAACAAACACATAAGATTGAGAAAAAGAGTTTAAGTTTTATGACTCACACACATCAACAATCAAGATCCACAATCATATTTGAACATTGCACCGACGCATCCTCCTCATTTTTGTTCAAAGTCGAATTTATAACATCTTCTATCAGCTTTTCCAATTGCACTTGTGAATTTTCTAAATGATAATAAGGAAAGCATATAAATAAGAATTTAATATTTGTAAGAATAATTAAATATTGCAATAATCACAAATTATATTTATTACCTTTTTTTGCACATAACCAATCTCTAGTGCACATCAAGGCCTCCACAACATGAGGTTTCAAAGCACTGCGGTATTGGTCAAGAACCCGACCACCAATACTAAAAGCTAATTCTGAAGTAACCATAGAAATTGGAATAGTTAACACATCACGGGCCATCATCGCAAGTTCCGGATAACGATACTGATGAGCTCTCTAATAATCAAGAACAAGAAGTTATGTTTCTATGTCAACCCTAGACTCATCCAAATACAATTGCAATTGACTTTTTTTATGTTTTAAGACCAGATGCATTGCTCTCAATGACAAATGCCTACATTATCAAAATTATAGATTTTCAAATCATAGACTATCAATAGTAATAATCTAATACAATAAAAACTATAAACAAAAAATTAAATACCTTCAAATTTAACACAGGTTGTGGATCACAAGCAACTAGACCACCATGAGGAACAGTCGATGCTTGAGAAGAAGAGGTGACAACAGATTTGCTCATATGCTCATCAAATAGAGAAAAAAGTTTGTCTCGAATATGAAAATATTTAAGAGAGTCTTCACCATAAATCTTCTTATAGCACCACTCCACAAAGTCAAGTTTATAGCGAGGATCAAACACAATTGCAATGACCAATATAACGCTATACTTCAACCAATACTTCTCAAATTTTTCATACATTTGACAAGACATTCTTCTCATAAAAGTATCCAAACTTTGCATTTCTCTATTCAAAGTCAATTGAATACTGAAAACTTGTTAAAAATACAAGTTTGATGTGGGGTACTTGGAGCCAAAAAAGATAACAGTAGTATCATAGAAGTTTTTTAAAAATATCTGAATCTTTTCAACTTTGATCTATTCCTCTTGAGATGGGCAATGCTTAAAATTAGAATCCACAAGTTGCAAATGACAAAAGGCACGACGGTAGTAAATTGCACTTGCAAGCATCAAATATGTTGAGTTCCATCTTGCAGTAATATCTTGCCTCAAACTTTTTTTGCTATCTAAAAATGTCTGTGCAACACACCCTGAGAATTTTTATTTTCTTGTCTGAGAACCTTTTACATACTTGACACTCTCTTTGAATTTTTCCACAGCTAAATCTACTTCTTTCAACCCTTCTTGCACAATCAAGTTTAGAATATGAGCACAACAACGAATATGAAAAAATTCACCATCACCAAGCAAAACATCTATCAAATTAAGTTGATTCTTATGCATATCAACCATGACATCATTTGCAGAAGCATTATCCAAAGTAATTGAAAACAACTTTTTCTCAACCCCCGATTTTGTTAACAAACTATAAATCTTGTCAGCCAGTGTAATGCCATTGTGTGGAGGAGGCATGTAAGAGAAATTCAAAATTCTTTTTTGCATTACCCAATCTTTGTCGATGAAATGTGCTGTGAGACTTAAATACCCATCGGTAGCAATAGATGTCCACAAATTAGAAGTCAAACCAATCCTGCCAGGTATGTCATGCAAGATAACAGACAACCTACACATCTCTTTTGCATGCTATTTCAGAATATCAGCCTTAGTCGTGTTTCTTGTAATGAATTTGACATCTAAATTTAAGTAGCTAAAGATTTGGCTAACACATTCATACTCAACGAATTGAAAGGGCAAATCATGTCTAATTATTGCACTTATTAACATCTCTCGAAATTTTTCCTCATTAAACTTCAAAGACCGTGCAGTAATAGACTCTTGACTTTGACTAAAAATCATCTGGCCCACATCACGTTGTTTCAAACAAATCTTTAAATGACGCCATAAATTACCAGTCCCATAGTTACTAGCAGCATTGTACTCAATCTTACATTTGTTGTATTGTGCCTTTAAAATATTGTCTTGATTTACTTATTTTCTAAAAAACCCCCATACCACTGATGTGAAAGTACGTTGCCGTTTTTCATCATTCGTATTATCTCCACTTTCTATATCTGGG